TGTTTTTACATTAACATGAGGCGATTCTCTCTTTCCCTGCACTTCAGCTGTGTCTGGGGTACGTGAAGTCTTCGATAACCCCACTCGGAGCAGGGCCCAGTCTCCAGCTCCATCAAAGGCTGTGTGGGGTCTGCCCCCGCCTTCAGAAGGGAGCCGAAACCAAAGCCCAGTGAGCAGGTAATTGCCGGCCCCCTCCGGTGCTAATGGCAAAGCTGAGGTGTCTGCAGCTGCAGGACGCGGCGCCAGACCCTGCCCTTTAATGAAGCCTCATTAAAAGAACTGGTGCAGGGAGCTCCCGCCTCCGTCCTGCAGCGGGAGTGAGCAGGGAGCTAACGAGAGCCCATGCCTGGGGTTGGGAACTGGTTGGTGTTTTTCCCTCTGCCCATCTCCAGCACCTTTCCAGCCACCGGTTGCTGCTGGAGCTGTTTTTGCAGCTGGAGCAGGGGCTGAGGCCGGGCTAAGTCTCTCCTGAAGCATCACCTCTTCCCTGTTGAACTCTCACCTTCCCATAGAACTACAGTCATTATTTTCATGTCCCCTTTTCATCTTCGAGACGTTGCTGTTAACATCCCCAAAGATGTCTTTGTTGCCTGTTGAGCTGAGCCTCCGAAGCATCCCGGCTATTTCTTCTGATGGCATAAAAAGGCTGATAAATCACCACCTTGGCCAGGAGCTTTGGGTGTTTGTCAGTAAATAGCCCCCTTGGCCTCTTCCCTCTTCACGCAGTGCTCGTTAGGGCTTTTACAGTGCCTCTGTCCTCAGGTTAACACAGCAAATGGTGAAATAATGGGAATAATCCTCGCTCATCTCTGCCTTGCTGCGGAGGGACCGTGTCGGTCCCACCCTGCTGCCCTGGGGATGCTGGCTTTTGTGCATGGCCATGCCTGGGAGGAGAAGGTGCTGTGCCTTGCTGGAGGCAGCGAGCTGATGCACTTGCTCCAGGGATGACCTTGCCTGCCAAGAGCCGTATTTCTGCGGCTTCAAAGCACTGATCCCCACTGGTCTGACTGATTAAAAAAGCAAAGATCTGAAAGTTCTTGCACTGAACTTGAGTAATAACATCTCCCTCTGCCTGCTCCAAACAAGGGGCTGGGAGCTTATAATTAAACCTGCAATCTATGCACACACCCCACTGCTTTCCATCACTCAACACTTGGTGGAGGTGATGCTGCTGCAGCCCATGTCACGGGCCCATGCTGGCTGTGCAGGAGTTCGCACTGTCCCGGTCTCAGAGGCATCTGCCTAATTGCACCTTTTTAATGTGCTTCCCTGCGCTGCCTACATCTGATAAGGTCAAAACCACCTTGAGGACAGCTGCTGGGCTGTCTGGTTTGCCTTTTCCTTTCCTGGATGCAGGGAGGACACAACTGCTCTGACCTTTTACATAAACCTATTAAAGGGGATCGAGAAACAGGGTTTTTTCCTGAAGCAGTTGGGAGGAAGTGACTGGGCTGTGTTTTATTCGCCACACCAGCTCTCTCAAAGGATCCCTCGAGGGATGGCAGGGCTCTTGGCTGGTTTTCACAGAAAATTAAGTAGAAAAAGGCTACCTCCAGGTAGAACATCCCTGTCGAAACTCAGAACTGGGATTCTATGGCTAGGGAATGAAGGGAAGGAGCAGCAGCCGCACTGCATCCTGCTCGCTGGGCTTCAGCAAGGCTGGGTTCTGCTTTTTCCCTTTTGAGATCTGGGGCTGACACTGCTGAAGGTATGGAAAATTAAGGCGATTTCTGTAGTGGGTCCTTGCAGGGCCCGAGTTTGGAGCAGCCACGTTGCTGTGGCGAGGTGGAGATGTCCACGGGCTTGGCCGTGTTTCAGATGCGAAGCCAGGAGCTGCAGGATGCTGCTGGTGCAAACCATGACCGCCTCCACCAGCGCAGTGAGCTCAAAGGATGGTCTGCAAGGGAGGAACCAGATTTGGGAACCGGTGACTGCAGAGAGCTACACTGACCCATTTTCCTCTGGATGATGGATACAGGGACCGGTAAAAGCTCCATAGCAACTGGATGTGCACAGTTTAATTATGAAATCCTCGTGGTGCTCCCTTGCAAAGATAAATGCAAGATGTTTTCACCCCTTGCAGCCATTAAAAAAAACCTCTATATTTAGAAGGTCCTGTTCCACTTTGCTGTGTGCCAGACAGCAGTGCAGCCTGAGGAAGGACATGTGGGGTTAACACAACAGCATGTCCTTCCAGGAAGGTTTGCAAGCTTAAGGAGTCTGGTTGCCACCACAAAGCACTTGGGGTGGTCAAAACCAGTGCTGGGCACTCTTGATCTCAGTGGTGGCATCTCACATCCATTTGACCCCAGTGGAAATAACAGTACCAGGTATGACAAAGAACCCCATAACATCATCCCAGGTATTAATCCCAAACAGGGAGACAGATCCAGCAGTGCTGTTGGATCCATGTGCATCATCCATGAGAGATTTGAGAGGGAGAAGGCAAAAGCAGAACAACAGCATTTTGAGATGATTTTTAATGTTCAGGCTCTTTCTGCATTGTCTTTTGGTGTTGTTCTCCACAACAGCTCAGGTCAGCTCTTATTATGTTCAGTTGTCCTGTCCCCTGGCACAGAGTACCGAGACACAGACAGCCAGAACTTTTAGATAGCATGATAAATAAAATAGATGCTATTATTAAAGCACTGTCCTGTTTTCTGCTGCCATGGTATCTTTTGCCTTGTCTGACTTATTGCTGATGTCTTCTGTCAGCCCCGCTCGCCTTCCTGCAGTGTATGATTTATGGTCCAGGGAGACAGAGCAGAAACATGGGAAAATTGCAGATGAGGGTGCTGGGAGGAGCACAGGCAAGAAGACACGAGGTGATTGTGATGAGGGTGTGCAAGTGGGTCCTTTCCCCACTGCTCTCGGAGAGGGGACGGTGTTCGGGACAGTGTGTTCCAACAACAGAGCGGCTTGGCTCCAGGGCCCCAGCTCCCAACCTCCAAGCTGGGAGAAATAAAACCTGGAGCAGACAGCAATCCCTGTCATTCTCCAAGGTGAGCTTTCCAATGTAAGCTATGTGTGAATGCCTCCAGTGAGGGATGGCATCTGGTCCTAACGGTCCAGGTGACAGCCACCAGCGTCCGGATCCAGCAGGAGCGTGACACCAGCAGCCAGATCCTCATCTGCTGTAAATCAGTCCCTTTCCTTCTGCTTCGAGGAATTTGTCCTCTTTCATATCTGTTCCTCTGCAGCCCAGTGAGGTTTGGGTGCAGGCAGGACACGCACCCACAGGCTGCTGTGTGCTGGGAAGCTGCTGTCCTTGCTGGTCCTTGCTGGTCGCCTGCAGCTCAGCAGGATGCTATTTTCATTACCATGTCTGAGGCTCGTGATAACTGAAAGCTCTTCCCCTCAGTCCTGCAGCCTCCCCACGCTTCTCTCACGCATTCCTCCTCCTGCCAACCCGAAACCTGGGAGAAATGTTGGAAGTGCCAAGCAGCCAGCCCCTCATTTTGGTGCCTTTCATTGCATCCTCCATGGGAGCCAGGCTGGGGATGTGGGCTCATGTCCATGGGTGCATGGGACCTGCCTCCACATCCTGCAAGTACCTGTGTGCTGGGCAGGGAGAGCACAGGCAAAAGGTTCCCTGTCAGCCTCCGTGTATTCAGGGAGAAGATAAGAAGTGGGGATTTGGGTTAGTTTGAAATGAAGATTAAACCAGGGAGTTGTTTCATTTCCTCACACTGAACGGCACAGGAATTCCAGCGGCTGCTTTGAGGCAGATGCTACTCCTTTAATCTGGTGTTTGGGGCAGTGACACACACATGTACGAGTCCTGCCTGGATTACACTTCTGCAGCCAGGATTACAGTTCAAATCCAGCAGTGCTTTTAATGCCTGGAACAGGGCAAAGCAGCTGATGTTGTATTTCAGGAGTGAAAACACAGCCAGAGGGTTAAGTCATCATAAAGTATGATGTGGGATTATAATGCACATTGGAGCAGGCAGACATGCTGGTCCATTTCCAGGTGGGTGTTTTTCTCGGGCCATGTCACCTGCTTGTTGTTGACCTCTACATTGTAGATGGTTACTCGGGGAAAACCTGAGGAGCTGGATTACCAGCGCAGCCTTCCCAGCCAGCTCCCTCTGCCACCCTGGGAATCCCAGTTGTGCTCTGCCTGTTTGGAACCAAGCTGCAGCGCAGGAGGCACTGCAAGCGCCCCAGTAAACCCCAGTGTTCAGAAGCTGTCAAGAGGAACCGGGGAATTCAGTTGCTGTGGGTTCTGGGTTCTCTGTTTCTGCCACTTTAACATCCAGCTGAAGGGACAAAGGTGCTGTCTGTAGGTACATGTATATGTATGCATATCAATTGCATCTAAAGATGAGGTGACTCGGGGTGCCCTAAAGCATCCCTGTGGATTGCCAGAGCTGATCAGACACCTTGCTGCCTGGTGGCAGGGCTCCAGATGTGAGGAGATGGTTGCAGGAGATTGTGTTATGGGGGCTTCACGAGTTACCATTTCTCAGCAGCCTGTGCTGAATCTTAAACTGTTAGGGTTGAATTAAATGAAAGACAACAAATCCTTTCTTTGGCCAGCCATCTGCAGGTCTGGGTGGTCAAGGAACCCCCCAGCTTCTGAACCAACCCTTCTATGCGCTATATAACCCAAACCCAGCAATGCAGGTAATTGCCCCTGTTGGCTAAGCCGTGAATCTGTACGAAGATAAGCGTTGCCTTGAGCAGTGAATGCAGCTGCTCAAGCTGCTCTGCAGCAGAGGAAGCCATCCTCGGGAGCAAGGGGTGCACCCGGTGCCAAACGCACCGTGCTACAGGACACGGGGAGGGAAGGGCTGTGGTCTCACAGCATCTCCCCTGGCTTGGAATGGGTTAAACCTCAGCGCCAAGGCTTCCTCCTCCCTCACTCCCGCGGGGAAGGGGCTAATTGCACCGGCTGAGTGGCCCAGGGATTAGCAGTGAGCCAGGTGAGAACGAAGCTAATCAGGTTCCATCAGCTCAAAGCCATAAATACCCCCTGCTGAGGAGAGCCGCTCCCTTGGGAGGAGGGTGCCTCTGTGCTAGAGCTGGAGCAGTGCCTGGGACCAGCTGAGGCCCGTACTTGCTGCGGGGAGGACCCCTGTATCCCGGTGAGTAGGAGCATCCTCGTTGTCTGCATCACCTCGATTGCATCGCTTTGCTTTGCTTCCCTTCCTCGGTTTCCTTGAAGCAGCTCTGACCGTCTGTGTGTGCCTCACAGGAGGCTGGGCACCCACCACTGCCGAAACACTGGAGGCCCTTGTCTGAAGGGCACAGCTTCATCAGCATTTGCTTTTGGGTTTGGAGCCTGGGTTCCTGGTTTGTTTGTGGAGGCTGTGGCAGGGAATGAACTGGAACTCCTTGAAGGTGCCTCCATCATGGAATGGTTTATGTTGGAAGGGACCTTAAAGCTCCTCCAGTCCCAACCCCTGCCACGGGCAGGGACCCCTTCCACTGGAGCAGCTTGCTCCAAGCCCCTGTGTCCAGCCTGGCCTTGAGCACTGCCAGGGATGGGGCAGCCACAGCTTCTCTGTCCCAGGCTCTGAGCAGCGAGGAAGGGTCCTGAGTCTGTGCAGTCCCAGGCTTGAAGCCCACAAGCGACAGCCTGTGTTAAGCACAGCCCAGCTTCCCTTGGCAACAAAGAGTGGCTACTAAACCCGCTCTTAATGTGTCTAAATACAGGTGCTTTAACTCCTGCCCTGGACACAGTGTCAGGCATTAGCTGGAGTGGATGCTCTGGAGACAAGGATGCTATTTTTCCAGTGATTGTCTCAGACACTCGAAAGCAGCTTGGTGTTCACTCTCAGGAGGTTGCACATCCTCCCTGGGCCACTAGTTTCTCCTGCTGGGCCCTGGGCTATCACAAGCATCACTTGTATGCTTGCACACATTAATATTTGGCAAAGCTTCAGCAGTCTCTGTGGCTGGGGCCAGGCACCCCGCTGGTAGAGATCAGCTGTGCTCAACTGAACCGTCTGAGAGCACAGCCCTCTTGTTTCATCTCTACTAGCAGGAAAAGGAGCTCAAATGGGCTTTAGTGTTGAGTGGAGTGAGTTCAGTTGAGGACTCTGTCTTGAGTCATCTTGGCTGGAATCGCTCAGGGTAAACTTTCCATTTCGGTAGACTTGGGGAAGCAGGACTTAACCTGCTTGGGCAGTTGAGGTGGTGGCAGAGGTTGATCAAATATTGAAGAGCCATGCCAGCTGTGGCTCCTGGATGGAGCAGGGATACCAGCTGGGCAGCTTTCCACATACCAAGAGCAGGAGAAGCTGCTGTCCTGTTCCGATGGACGCTCATCCTGCAGCACAGGAGATGTTCCCAGGAAAAGCATGCGTCAGATGGTTGGGATGAGCAGATGGCAGCTTGCTAAGGATTTGCATTCCTGTTTTTCCCCGGTGTTTGTGACTACCCAGGCGATAACATGCGGGCGAGAGGCAGCCTGAGCAGGGCTCTGCTCTCCTGCTGGAACTTTGTTCAAACAGATTGTAGATACACACATTCCATTAAAGCAAAGAGCCAGAGGGAATGATTTCCCTATAGACTTCACGTTGGTGTGGGACAAAAGGAGTTGTAATGAGACTTAATGTTTTGGAATGCTGTAATCCCACATGGCAGCACTGCTCAGGGCCCTGCTGTGTGGCTGATGTGCTCCTGCTCAGATAGACCTGTCCCAGGGGAGGCTCTGTTAACTGCTCCTAGCACAGGGCTCCTGACACTGGGGATGGGACTGGGTCCATCTTGTGGAATAATTAGGCCCAGGCAATCCGAGGAACCCTATACAAAGGAAGTCCTTAGCTGCAATCTCAGCCTTGCAGTCTGGTGATGAGATGCTTCTTCCCGTTCTTGCCAAAGAACGATCTGAAAGTTGAGTCTAGCGCTAGCAAGATGCGAGGCACTCTCTGTTTTCACATACGAAGAGGAGAATCCCTGGGAGAATTGGGCTCCTTGCTCCTGCTCAGCTTTAGCTCTAGCCTGAGTTAAAAGAGCAGCCCTATTTGCAGCACAAAGACAGATCCCCTTCAGTTTGTGTGTTCGCTTGATGTGGCCCATGGCTGAGGGATCCTGCTACAGCCAAAGGAGCTGCTCGGTCCTGCTGGAGAAGGCGACTATAAATAGGCTGCTTTGATGTGTAAAGATGTTAAATGGATAACAAAGCAAGGACAGCAACAAACGCTGAAAGCGTTTACACTGAAAGCATTTACAGCGGTCCGAGATGCAGGGCTGAGCAGGAGTGAAGCTCCAGTGAAGCTGCCGGAGAGGACAGCGAGTAGGGACCCTGCCAGAAGCTGGAATCCTGGCTGTGCTGGGATGCGGCTGAATGAGGGATAGAGGGAAGATCGGCAGTGACATGGGAATTAGGCAAGGAAACTTGCTGCTGGGTTGAAATCTTCTTTACACGAGCAGCAAGGAAAGGCTTTAGTGAAACGATAAGGTTTTCAAGTCTGGTTTATTTATATAAAGACGGCTTATTTCTGTGCTCCTCAAGTCCTGCTCTGTTATGCACATGCAGGTTTTGCTGTGGCAGTGGAATCAAACCCATGAGGGCTTGGGGGAGATGAGAGCTGCTCTGCTGCACTGGTCCTGCTCTTGATTCTGGTGACAGTCTTGACAGCATCTCTTCCAGCTCAGGTGCAATGAGATACTCTCATGGCAGGTTCCTGCAGGCAGCTCAGTACAAGTTACAATCCAAAATTACAAGTCATACCTTATTCTTTTTATGGTTTTGTCACCACATTGCCAACTTTGCCGTTAAGAGCATCACCTCCTGCTTTGCTCTGGCTTCTGCACAGTCCCAGTCTCTCTCAGTCTAAGGTTAATCTGGGCTAGAAGTGAGTCAAGGCCAAACTGATCAGTTTGGTGCATCCTTTCTTGAACCCTCCCTGAGAAAATCCGCTCCAATACCAGGATGTGTGCAGGCAGCTCCCTGGGATTCAGGGAGCTCAAAGGTGCAGCAGCACCTGTTAGTGAAAGCATGAGTTTAAATAGCAAATCAGATTTGATGCATTATGAGCTTTTCCATTCTTCTCCTGGACCCTTTTGTTCTCTTGCCGAGCCTGGTAAAGGGATGCATCTTCCCTGCTTGCCTCCAACATCAAGCCTGGCTGGCTGTGGGGTCCAGATGTTCCCATTTCACCTCTAAAATGATGTATTTGCTTTCCCACAGAAGTGGCCATGTGTTTCCCAAATAGCTTTTAGACTTTAACCTTCTCAAGCTCCTCACTGGCGGGGCCTGCCCTGTTATTTCCAGATTTGGTTGGCATTTTAACTGGGAAGAGGCCTTTCAGTAAAAACAGTCATTTTTAGTAGCAATAAAGTGGATTTATTGAACAAAAGAATGGATCTTTCCAGTGGGGGAATGGGAATGAGAGTTCCTTGGTGCCACCGGGGATGGCTGCTTCCTGCTTTGCTCTCTGGGCAATTCGGAGCTGAAATCTGGCTCCCCCAAAAGAGATGTATTTTCTGGACTGATTTTCTGTAAAATATTCCACCTTTTTATTTTCTGTTCCCATTTAGAGCAAACAAATACAAGTCAATCGGCTCCAATTATTTCCCCTCTGCCTTTCCCCAAAGGCTGCGCTGTGATTGTATGCAGATAAATAAATTAGGTTAAACAATGGTAACTTGTCCTGAGCTGCCTTCTATCATCGGGAAGCTGGGTTGGCAACTCGCTAATCTGCTGCTGCTGTTTGACGTGGGCTCAGTTCCTGCGTCGAGTCAGGAGATTATTCCAAACGTTAGACCGGGGCCTTTAAATTAAGCTTGAAAGTGTTTTAGGGCTTTTTGCCCTGATTGCTTATTTATTTAACTATCAATAATGAATTTAAAGCAGAGCTCGGAGCCTCCCCTTCCGAGGACAGGAAAACACAGGGGACAAACAGCCGACGCACATAAACAGCAGCTCCTTAGAGCAGAGCTGAGCGTGCGGAAGGCCAAAAAGACCCTGAGCTGAGATTTCTGGGCCCTTCTCCCAGCTCCTTCACCTTTGAAGTGAGTTGTTGGCTTCTCTGGGATGAGGGAGGTTGGTACAGGGGTTCAGGTGGCCGTGGGAGGGGTTTTAACCCTTTCTTTCTTCCTACTTCAACCCAGAGACACTTTGTTCGCTCACTCATTTTCTTTGCTGGATAATATCCACAAAGATGCTCGCTGGGGAGGTTGAGGCAGTGTGAGGCAGCTGGGGGAAAGCAGGTCTGTGGGTGCTTGGGCCATTGACTTGCTTAATGGAGTCCTGAGCTCATCATCCATCTCCCTGTGCTGCTCCGTTCGCCAGCTCTCTGCCCACCCATCAGTGTGCTGTAACTGAGAAACTGATTCCTTCACCAGGGAAATAACAAGGCTTTCTTCCTCTCTGTCTTAATTAACTTGCACTGCTCCTCTGGTCCTGGCATGGAGTTTCCAGCACCATGAAGTGTAGAACTGCATTCCAGTGGTGATGGCCTCAAAGGAAAAGGATGTGGTGGCTTCCTCTAAGATGGAATTAATGTAATGAGAGGAAAAACAATGCACAAAATGAACTCGGGTATGGATGGCGCTGAGGTGCATCAAGGATTCCACACCTTGAGAGCTGTGTGGGCAGCTGTGTGGTTGCTTTGCCAGGCACCCAAGAAAATGACCCTCAAGTTTCCAAGCAGGAGGTGAGGCCATTCATAGAAACCCAGACTGGTTTGGGTTGGAAGGGACCTTAAAGCTCCTCCAGCTCCAACCCCTGCCACGGGCAGGGACCCCTTCCACTAGAGCAGCTTGCTCCAAGCCCTGTGTCCAACCTGGCCTTGAACACTGCCAGGGATGGGGCAGCCACAGCTTCTCTGGGCACCCTGTGCCAGCGCCTCAGCACCCTCCCAGGGAAGAGCTTCTTCCAGTCCTGCGAGTGGACAGCAGTGACACAAACCCTATTTCCCTACAAGATGTTGGCCCTTTAGGTTCCTCTTCCCTCGCGCTGTAGCTGGGTTTTGGTGCGTTTGCGGCTCTGGCAGGATGTGTAATGAAACACCTGATATGTTGTGACAAGTAAAGGGCTTTGCAGTGCAGTGGTTAATGTGCTCCTGCATGTGTTGGTGATGGATCCTCTGCTGGTCTGTTTCCCGTTACGAGGTACAGGTTTAGTGACAAGGATGCTGCTCACAGCACTTCGTAGTAGAACCCTTATTATAATAATAACTTAAAATTAGAGGGGGAATGGATATGCCCTTGACAGTGAGGGATTATTAGTGCTGATTAAACCCAATGGCAGTACAGGCAGGTATTAATAGACTGTTCCCTGTGCATTTCTCTCCCAGCCTCTCTCCTCATACTTTGTTCTCTTCATTGCGGTGCTTTCCAGGACATTGCACACTCATGTCAGGAGCAGTGCTCTCCGGCTGTGGGGTTATTCCAGAGCACAAGTCATCAAACTGCCCGGTCTTTCTCATGCAAGCTCTTGGCCTGCACTGGCCCTCTGGGGCAGTCCCATGCAACCACTACTCGGGAAGAGAAGCAGCTCTGCTGCTGCAGCAGCTGCAGCCTGGCAGGCACAGGAGTGTTTTGCCAGTACCACGAGGCATCCCAGGCAGGGTGAGCTTTGGCTTTGAGTACTGACTCCTGCCAAGCAGGGCTGCATCTCCCTGCAGCCAGGGAAGAGCTTTGTGCCTCCCTGGGAACGCGCCTGTGCCAGGGCTGCCGGTCAGGAAGGATTCCATCTATTTCTTGGTCTTGGAGCTGAGCAAAATCTCGACCCAGAACCCAGTAGACAACAAGGCATTCTGATGGCGCTTGATGCTTAAGATAAATGCTGGGATCTTCCTAGCACCAGGAGCTGCTGCTTCAGAGCTCCAGGGCTTTGCCTTAGATACAGACTTTGTGTGCTTGTGTATGTATATATGGCACCATGTAAATGTCAGGAGACGCGCTGGGAATCATAGCTGCTAAAGCCTGTGATAGAGATGGAGCAGGAGTCCTTAAGTATCGCAATCACACAAGGCTGTATCGTTTGAACTGTCTGGTGCTCTATCACTTTAACAAGCCTTACGAGCCAAACATCTTGCTTGTATTTGGACAGGGATTTGTCCTAAGCACAGATGCTGCCTGGTGAGAACAAACTCAAAAGTGTGGTTAATGAATAACAGAAGATCCTTTTCATTTTCTTTTTCCCTGTTCTTTTCCCCCAGCCTGTGATCTTGAGGGTCAGCATGAGGAATGTGACATGCTTCAGCCCAGTGCCTTACAGCGTTATGAAAACCCAAACTGGTTAATTGTACAAAGCTCCTGAAAGGAGGGAAAGACTTGGTCCCCAGCAGGGCAAATCCCATCTCATGGCCCACAGAAGGCCCAGGCAGGATGGGGAACGGGGAGCATGAGGGAAGGGGCAGCTCCTCTCCCTCAGGAGCAGATGGGGTAGATGCCTCCTTGTGTTGGCCTTGCTGGCTCCCAGAGCAGGAAAACAAACTCTGCTTCCAAACTAGTGGTGTTGCTGCCATGGGAAAGGCAAGTCTCTGATGGAGGGAAGCTGATGTGATGCTGCTGGAATGGGGGTGCCCTTTCTCCAAGGTAGGAGGCCTCCTTCGCCCGGTGTCAGCCCGATTTATGCTCCTCAGAGACAGCCCAGCTCTGAGTGCTCTTTGCCTGACATGCACGTGAGCTTCCCATCCCAGGCTGGCCAGCCAGCTCTTCACCCTGCAGCAGGTCTGTGCCCCCGTTGTGCCCTCGGGGCTTTCTTAAACCTCCTCGACTTGTCTGGTAGCTAAAAAAAGCCCCGAAAGCAGAGCTGACCCCGAGATCTTCCTTGAAGGCTTCCTGAGACCAAATTGACGGTGTCATCTCTGAGTCTGGAGCCTTACCTGCACCTGCATCAGAGGAAAGGTTAGAAAGAAGGCCTAAAAATAGCTGTCGCCCTCAGAAGTTGGACTGTGCATTTCCAGCCTCCTGTTACTGTCTCCGATCATGCCCCGTTCCTTCCTTTCTGACTAATGGCTTTGCACTTGGCATTTCTCATGGCAGCCCTGTCTCTACAAGATAGGCTTAAAAATACATTCTTCAGAAACACCACATTTCCCCATCCTCTCGGTTCCGCCCACCAGCGCACGCAGTGGAAAGGGAACTTTACACGTATGTCCTACCCCGGTCGATCCGCACCACCCTGCACCGTCTTGCTGACCCGCAAACGTACCCCCAAGGAGCCCTCGAGGGCAGCGAGAGCCTGGAGCCTGCAGGAGGTTTAAACGGGAATGTGTGTCCCTTCCTCCTCTCCGTGTGAGAGGAGGAGCAGCTTCCCCTTCCCCCAGCCTGGGATATTAATACAAGCCTGGATTCCAGCCAGAACTCTGTCTCCTCCGTATTGTGCTGGAGTGGCTCCCTTCTAGCTCATCCTTCTGTGCAGGAATGGCCCAGCACCACCTCCAGCTGACTGCAGCCCTTGGGGAAGGCTTTGCTGGGCTGGGAGCCTCCCTGCTATAGAGGAGAAGGCAAAGGGATGGGGTGGATACTGGGGCACGAGGGGGGTCAGGTCACCGCACAGCACCAGCAGGGATGCTGCTCTCGCCCCGCTCCGTGCTCAGCCTTTGAGCCTGTGTTTTACGCTGCTCTGCAGCTTCATTCGCTCTGTTCCTGCAGCACCATCTTCTCTCCTCCCGGAGCACAACATATTGTGCAGCTCAAGTTGTCAGTGCTAATGCTTCCCTTCTGCAAGAACAAAAGTAGCAGAAGTCAGCTCCTTCACCCTCTGACTCGCTGTTTTTTTGCCACTAGGAATGGCAGAGAGATTACAAGCCATTAACAGGAGGGGTTTTGCTTTGTAAGGGGAAAACCATGTAGGAGAAATTCAGCTCTTGCATATTTTTAGCTGCCAAAATTAAGCTTTAGATGGATGCTGTCTACAGCAATGCTTCAAGACTGTAGCCCTTCTTTTGGGGTACAATCACTTACTGGTAGAGCTGCAGCCAGTGATGCTTAATGAGAAACATGCTCCAGAAGGAGAGGCTGGGAGAGTGCCATTCACCTTCAGGTTTCCTGTGACGCACGTTGTCTTTAGGTAAGTGATGGATGGGTGCTATGAGACTGGAGTTAGCAGCTCTTACCTGAGGCCAGACATCTTGAGAAGGCTTCCTTTAAAGGTCCTGGCTCAGGCGTATCTCAGCTTCCCCTTGGATGAGAAGATGAGAGTGAAATCCCTTCTGGCCTCCTCCTGCCTGGATGAGGCAGACGCATTTCAGGTAACACTTGAGGGAGTGTTGTTGCTGTGTCTTGTGCGAGGCCTCACACTTAAACGTGGATGATTGGAAGGAAGAGTAAGAAAAATGGGCACTTCCCAGTGATAGGCAATGAGCACCGAAGGCAGAAAACAGGCAGTGGGAATGGGTGAAAGGAAGCAGCAACCTGCCAGCCTGTCCCTGTAATTCAGAATAGCCCCTGGGAGCTATTTACTCTTTACCCTACTGTTCTCTGTCCTTAGGTGGCTAAGGTCTTCAGCGGGGCATTTTAGTTAGATGCTTACAGTTAGGAAGTACGAAAGGCCCTCGAAAGACTTTACAACTTCATTTTCCCCATCATGAAAGACCATATGCCTTGGAGTTAGGTCAAGTCCTACTTTTTGCTCAAAGCATAGGAGATTGATTTAATACAAAAAATATAGATAGATATACATATGCTGTGTATGGTGCATCTGTTTCTCCAGTGTTAGCTTTATGGTGAGTGGTCATAGAGGAACATGCAGGATGGAGGCTGGACCACTGAAAAACTCAGGACTCAGGCCAATCAAAGTGCTGCTGAACTGAGGCTTCAGACAAAGTGGCAAATTGTTCATGCATTTCACTGCTTTGTAAGTGAAATGCCCTGAAAGGTTGATGAAAATGGGAGGCAAACTCAGCCCCAATGAGCATAGTGAGGCCAGGCGACAGAACCAGGAGCTGACACTTCCCAACAAGCTCAACAGGGAGAATTTAAATGTAATTAGTTGGTGTAAAAAAGGACAAAAACCCCTCTGGAGGCAAGGCCCAGTGATTGTTTAGATTGAACCAATGCATCTTTCTACACCCAGCTACAAGTGAAGGGGGGGGAAATCACCCTCGTTTCCTGTGAGAGATGGATGAAGGGGTGTGAGCTGGCAGCTAATGCTGTTGGCTAACACCACCATCAACCACTGCCTCTCTGTCTGGCCTCAAGCTGTCAGCGTCTGAGGTAGCCCATGTGTCAAGTGTGCAGCATTAATATTCACAGGGCAGTTGTGATGGTTTGGAGTCGTTTGACAAAGAGCACTTCAGCCCCAAGCACGAAGTGCTCCAGATACACACAGATTGCTGTTGTCACCAAGCCCGGTTCTGTGGGGACCTGCAGAGCTGCTGGCAAGCCTTGCTCCAGCCTTGCTCCATGGGGGCTTTGACATGCTTGTAGTCACTCTTTCCAAGTGCATCTCAGCCTGACTTCCAGCTAGATCTTTCTTTCTTCCCTTTTTTAATCTCCTTTATTGATTCCCCTGCCAGCACACTGAGACAGCATCCCTCAAGCCATTCTCTCATTTCCCCTTACCTTTTGTTCACTTTTTGTTCATTCTTTCTTTTGGGTAGTAAAATTTCCACATCCTTCTGTAGGCACTGCTGTATCATAAATGGCACCACACTGAATGACTGCCATGGCTTTTGGGGTACACCTCTGATGGGTCTCAGCTTGGCTCCAAGTCTCATCACCAGCTCAGAAGCAACTCCTCCACCCCTTACTCTGTCCCTCAAAGAGAAAGAATGCATCTTGATGTCTCCTTTCCAACTTGCAAGCCCCTTGCACAGCTCCCCGTGCCAGGGAAAGCCCATATGGGATGGAAAAAGCACCCGGATTGCTGGGCTTGCCCGCTGCTGCCCAGGGGATGGTGTCTGACAGAGTGAAGGAAACAAATTTCCTTGCCAGTGCAGGTGAAAAGCTTTGGGAGCAGATGGCACAATCGTTCCTCTCATTACTTTTATTGCCTTCAGAATGGAGAAAAGTGAGTGCTTAAGAGGCTGAAGCAATCACAGGCTGATGGATTGGTGTTGGACTCTTTCCTGCACCACAGCTGATGCTGTAGCTTGGGAAGAAGGGACCAGAGGTGGCAGAACAGAGGGATGGGGAGAGATGCGTCATCAGCTGGTGTCCCTTTGGACATGAGGGACAAGGAGAGGCTTTTGCTGTGAGACCGAGGTGACAGTTCAGAGGATGCTGTAAGCCAGGGAGGACAGTGGGCTGTGTTAGGAGTGGCACCCACCAAACACTTTGAGGGAAGGTTCACTGACTGCACCCATTGTGAATTTAGAGGCAGCTGAGGAAAACACTGTGCACCCTACATCCCTCACAGCATCACTGACCCACAGGTACACTGGGATGCATGTTTTGTTAAATACTGAAATACAGGCTCCCCCTCTGCTCCTTGGACACTCCTCCCCTCCCTTCTCCACCAAGCAATGGCCTGGAAATTACATGTTATGGCCAGAAATTAAGACACTCTCTTTCTGGAAGCTTTCATCATTAACTGTTCGTCACTTTGGAGTGCCTCCTGAGGTCAAGAGCATTTTGTCAGAGGCATTCATCAGCCAAGTGCTCTGTGCATTATCTAGGGCTGTCTCCCAGGGAAGCCAAGGTCGAGCAGTAATACACCAGCGAGGTGACCCGCTCGTTACTTTTGGAAACGTTTCTGTCAATGAATGGCCCTTAGCGAGCATCTAATTTGGATTTAACAAGGCATCTAGTGTTTGTTTAAAAGGACACTGTACCTTCAAGGTATTTGTCATAATTGGAAGGAGGATATTTACCTGCTCTGTTTATTAATAAACCCCTTAGAAGATGGATATTGAAATCAGCATCTTTAATGTTTTCTCCGGCACCCAGAGGGATGGTCCTTGCAATTGCAAGAATCCCCCCTGGGTTTTCCCAGGGCTGGGATAGCTGGAGTTGGACCAGAGCACTGGGACCAAGTCAGACCTGCTTCACCAGCTGGATCTGCTGGTGAGGAGGTGCTGCATGGGGAGATTGAGCCATTGGTACCTGCGAGGTGTCCCCATCTGTGTCTGAATGCATTTACCCTGCTTCAGCCCGAGCTGCCCGTGTGTTGTAAGCCTGCC